CCTGTTCCTTCACTCCCTGCTGCAGCAGACACTGCAAAGCACTCTGGGCACTTCCTGTCATGTGTTCCTCATATTATTAAAGTATGATTCTCACAGTTTGAAATATTGTCGGTTTTGAATAGTGGATATTACAAAATGTGATCCTAGCTAGATCAGAAAGAAGATGTCAGTCAATCAAGCTAGATTTCTGAATATATTCTTCAATAAATGTCCCTCGTTGCAGTTCTGGAAAAGTAAAGTAAAGCAACAGAGATGTTATTACTTTTATCGGCCATTGCTTGCTGGTGGAAGTAAGCTCACTTATAAAAATCAAGGCACTCAGGAGAGAAGCAACGCTGGTCATGGCTTCTTGTGATGAGTGTGTGAATCCGCTCCTAGAACTGTCTGAATGGGCGGTTCACTACCCCAGGAGCTGGGTGGTCTCTCTGAAGGCCGCTCTGACGCTGAGAGGAGGCGCTGTCCTGGAGAGCAGCACGCGACACTGGAGCTGGAAAGGAACAGCGTGTGTTCACAGTGTAAACTGACATCATGAAATATTATTTCTTACAATGACTGGAAAGGAATAACTGAGATCTTCTGACTTTCTCATGGGTGCTGCACCAAGAGCTCAGTCAGCTCTTTTGGTTGAAATGAACATTTTGTACCTGTCCAGTGAGGAAGAGGGCTGCTGGTCTCTGCCCCCTCCTAAAAAAAAGAAAGCAAAACATAAATTGTGGAACCTCAAGTCGAATTTATTTCTGGTGTAGCAAAATTCCATTAGAATGGTGCTTTATGATTTATTTTCCATGAAAGACATTCTTCACACAGACTGCTGGGCTGCACAGTGTGCAGACAGAAGGACAGGACATACAGACCTAGACCTGAGCTCCTCATCTTCTCAGTGTGCTGCTGCTCACCACCTGGGGGCGCCCTGTCAGCACTCCTGCTACTGACACAACACAGGAAACACAGCAGTTAGAGCTCAGGCTGTGACTATCAGTCTCACACACTGATTCCAGTCTCACATCAAATATTTTAAAACCTCAAGTGCGTAAAACATGGTTTAGCTGGAAATGGAGATTATTTTAGAGTTTACTGAATTCCTCCAGGAGCTATGACTTATGATCTTAAGGTCTTTGCATTTATTATGCAGCATTTATTTATACCTATGATTGTTCTTATACAGAGGAGTATAACAGTAGAAGACATGCCTGTTGTGAGCTGCGAGAGTGTCTGACCCAGAAAGCTCTGTGTCAGGCAGGCCAGGAGAAGAGGTCCTGGGGCTGGTCT